CCACCTGAGACCGTCATCATCACCGGCGCCCAGTACTTCCAACTTTCGTGACACTTTCTGTCAAGCGAGTGGACCCCTGGAGCAAAGTCCTGTTTCTTGCTTATGTATTTTCGCTTCCCATGGAAGCAAAGTAAAAGCTTTCAATGAGCGACGCGAGTTGGGCTAACCTATCACATAGAAAGTCTCACGAAACACGCAAAGTTCTTCAGGCACCTCTACTGCGGGGAAACTATCCAATGCTGTAACGAAGCTGCCCAGGCGCAGATGCCGTCATCGCCCTCCTCAACACGCTCTGTGACGCCGCGCTCGTGAATAACGAGGCCGTGCTGAAGCAGCATTTTACCGATGTGGCAAAGGCCAGCCCTGTCCCAGTCATGATCTACAACTGTACGTCCCCCCATGCTCTGCCCGTAAACTGCTCCCTAGCACCCCTTCAAACCCCTTAGCAGCAGCAGGCATCGACCTAGACAGCACGACCATCCTCGAGCTCGCCCAGTCCTGCCCGAACATCTGTGGTGCTAAGCTCACCTGCGAAAACATGGGCAAGCTCTACCGTATCAGTATCATCATTTCCCAACCGGCGTTCGTGGCCCAGGAGCTCGGGCAAGAACGTGCCCTTCTGGATCGGTCCGGGCTACTCGGATTTCCTCTAGCCATCCATCCTCCGCCGACCGGGTGCATCAGAGGCCTAGGGAACGTAGAGGAGGAGGGTAAGGTGTGGTTTGGCCTAAATGTGGGCATCCTACGGACTGGAAGGAAGGAGTGATCACGAGGAGGGTGTGAGGAGGTCAAGTACACCAAGTTGGTCCCGGGCACCCCATACTACTGACTAGAGGGATCTCCCCTTGGTCAGTGTGGCTACACTTGCGTTCCACCATAACCTTCTGGTTTCCGGCTTTTGTTACACAGTTGTTCTGGGAGCCCTCAAATGAGGAAAAGGTTACTTTTAGCCGCCTGACTCTCTGCCCTCGGATTGCTCTTCATCCAGAAAGGAAGCTCAACCGACTTGCTTGGCCCTCCTTCCACCGAAACCGGGAACCGGCACCGGGGGGAACCTACCACCGGTTCCAGATCGGCAGTCCACTCTCGAGTTTTTCTCTGATGACTGTCCGAATTTGGGCTGGCCGGCCAATTCCGACGTGGTCCGAGTAAGGCAGTATGAGCCACACTTCGCAAAGTCCTGTTGGCGCTCTTCGTGCTGTGGCTCCCTGCGTTACACCAATGGGTCATATGGATGATGAATACAGCATAGAACAAGCTTCGCGTAGGGCTGAAACCAGTGTGGAGCCACTCTGGACGCATCTCCCGCCAGAACTATCGCGGGAAGAAGCACAGCGCATTTCGCCAGGATATCCATATTCTCTGCTGCTCCTGCCATGTTATATACCTCGACGAGTAGCTCTCTCCATCATTGCGGACGAGGAATCCCTCTTGCAGACAGCGAAGTAAAACCGAGTTTCTTGCCAAGTCACAGAAGTTCCCTACTCGTCAGCGTCGATTGCCTTTCTCGGGACGGTATCTTGCAGCCCAAGGATCTCTTCCTTCCTAGTATTCTCTTCGCCTTCTCTGATGACTCTACTACTCCCCTCTTATGGATGCTGAATAACGAATATATTACACATAACAACAATTGCACCCAGGATCTGTCCATTCTAACACGTCCCATCCTGTATAGAAACCAATCGATTGCGATAAGATACATATCGATTGTATCCACCCAGGCGCTGCTCGGGTTCCTTGAAGGCAAGGCCACGCGCAAGGCACGTTTTCCGGCGAAGATATCGCCGGCTCTGTTCGGTTTCTCCACGAAAGAAGTATGCGACCACGAAACTGTTTTGACTTTTTACTTGATGGAAGACCGCACATCTCGGGGAAGATGACCATTGTTGCTGCAAGCACTGCCGTGTATATACTCGCCTGACATTAGCCTTGACCAAACTTGCGCTCCAGGAACCCATGTGTCTTAGCCCTGGTTATGTCAACCGAATGGTTTGCTGTGATGGAAGAAGCCATCCCTTTGTGCAATCCATTGGGCCATGTGGTGGTGCCTCCATCTGCTACCGTGAGAGGACCTAACGCGAGTTGACGGTCCAGCCAGTCACAAACACGAACATTGCTCACGAAATCCAAGGTGCACTGAGGCAATTTCGTGTAGATCGCAATACAGCGCAGAAGATTAAGCGTTACGTGATTCCATTTGCGTATCATTAGTGGTACTACAAACTATTAACATCGTGACTAGTAATGCAAGTAGAGGTATAAGTCGGAGGTAAAGAACACTAGACAAGCCAGTACTAAAACAATTCAGAAGCGCGACAGTAATACAACCATGGAAGGACGTTCGGGTTCCCTAATACTTAGTTTTTCGACAAATATCACGAAGACAGTCCATGAGATCCAAATCCATGCGGGAGATCTCCAAATGAATCACCAGCCATCCGCCCTCTTGGCGGCACAGGCATGCTTCACCAGCGTAATCTCCTTGGCGAAGAACTTGCCGCAGCTGTGGCACTTCCACTCACTCTCGACGCCGTGGATGTGAACCTCATGGCGGAAGCGGTCGTGTCGGCGGCTGAACTCCTCCTGACATGGCGCTATCTGGCATTTGAACCGCTGCTTCTCACGAGGCTGGTGTGTCGTCATGTGCACGGCACGTGTGTACTCACGCTTGAATGTGCGATCGCAGCCCGGGTGCAAGCAGGGAAGGCGCTTAATTGGTTGGTTGGGATCGGAGGTAGGCGAGCCGTGGCGGGAGGAAGAGGCGGACGAAGAGCCAGACATGTCATGAACGCCTTCAGAAGGGGTCGATTACTAGCTCAAGACAGCTGTGAGTTTGACACTCACTATCGCCTTTTAATTGAGCCATGTAATTGAGCAATTGGTAAGGAGTTTCACCAAGCGGTCCATCCGGCATCGGAGGGTATCCGTATGGCATCGGCGGTGGTGAATACAAGCTGGGAAGCATTCCTTCACTAGAGCTGGCGCTGTAATCGCTACGGGGGGACATGAACGTGTTTGGCACAGAGCGATGTTGGGGAGATGCAAAGCTCGAGCTCATAGCTGACGTATCTTCATAAGCCTTCATCGACGGCAGACGTGGCGTGACAGGGCGCCCCGTACCTTTGGTAGCCAGGGGTGCGAGGGCGCGGATGAGATTACCGTAGTCTGCTCCTGCCTCTTGCTTCAGCTGGTGCGGACCGTGCGAGGGCCCGTATCCGTAGGGTTGAGTGAAGTAAGGGTCTGCAAACCTGATAAACTCAGATTGTCAGGCACGTGTGAAGGGGTAACACACCTTGGAAGGGAGAGGATGAAGAGTATTGCCAAGGGGAGTCAGCCCAATCGTGGTCGATGCTGGAAGGGTACGGTGGCGGCATGGCCGGGTACGAGTCGAAGGACGCCATTTATACAAGTATATGGATTGCGGGCGGTAGGTTGATTGCGCTCGGCAGATGAAGTGGAAAATCTTAGCAGGATGATTGAGGAGCGCTGACGAACAAGGTGGGGGAGGGTTGAGTGGAGAGAAAGTCTGCCCAAGCCACGGGGGGTTAAGTAGGTCTGAGAGGTTGGGCATCACGTCCTGGCTGGGCTAGGCGCCCTAGATGCCCCTGCCTGATCTGTTTTTGGTATTCAGGGATCATATTCGGCAGCGGATGGTTTCCTAATCTGTCGATTTACGAGCGATTGTGGATTGGAGGTCCCTCGATAGAAGCGCAGAAGATTGAGTGCGAGTGCGCGTGCGCGTGAGGGGCCAATACGGATGCAAGGGCTGAGCTGTACACTCTCCGAAAGAACCACGACGAGTTGAACGGAAGACGTGGATGGGCGCCCAGAAGAATTAGAGTGCCAACCCTGGCACCGGCGAAAAGTGAGAGACATTCCAGCACAGGGAATGCATGCCTGAGGGTGCCGAATGGGTCGGAAAAGGGACAACAGGCCAAATATTGCAAGGGTGCCTTTGACAGTTCAAATCATGCCCACGCCGTGTGCTCTTGAGGGTCAGGGTTCTAGCCACGCTCCTGATGTTGGGATTGCCAAATTCGGCAATGAGACATTAATTGTACCTCTTTAGTTCGCTCTTTACTAACCATTGTTAAGAAGGTCTAACCATAGACGTCATGCTCGACAATCCTACCCATACCCAACTACTCTACGTAAGCCTTGAGGTTGTTAAGAAGAGACTTGCAGATTGACTGAATTGCGTGGCGCTCAATGACCCCGTCCAGTGACGTGGCTTCTGCGCCCCTCAGGCACCCCCAAACCCTGAGGCCACGGTCCTGCAGACCGGCGGGTGTCAAGCGCCGGACCGGCATAAGTTCCATCTCATTCGGTCACGTTCTCAATTATTACAGTCCGGTTTGAGAGACTCTTCAGCGCCCAGTTTTGTGGATGACTGTTGGCCAGGTGGTCGAACGTCCTCATACACCCAGGGACCCGCACAAAGGAAATGACATCGTCCATGTGGTTCTGTTCCGCCTGCCTTGCGCTTTTCCGCCAGCAAACCGCATGGATTTCCCTGGCTTTCCCCTCATAACAACAACTGCCCTGCGAAATAAACGCTGGTCGCAAGTCTGTTGCGGGCCAATAGTAGGCATCGACCCCTAAGCGAATCACCTGCGTCAAGCGCTCAGCACCCAGCGCCCACCGTGATAACCTCTCTTGACTTTCCTTTCCTCGACCGGAAGAACAGAGCAACCCGCACCGCTCAATTCATCTGCTTGTATGTTTCCTAGTAACCCTGATGACCGTGTGTGCGCTACGCAAGAGCGTGTGCTCCTGGCAGCACAGCACTAACTGCACCGCCCCACGGAACCCTCGTCTTGCCTGAGAAGAAAAATTTCCCCACGTTATCCTCAAGCTAGCAGCTAGCTGCAGGCAGTGCTCGATATTGCGCGATGTTCAACTTGAATCGGGCTGTCGGATTCTCGGACATGCCTACGGGGCACGTCTCATCTGTAAAATTTGCAACTGGACCAAAATGAGGAATATCCAGCGCATATCCGCTGTCATCGTGACGAGAGGCTATGTTCTTTCTCGTCCAATGGGCTTCAGGGCAGACCGGAGTATCCCCTTCGCCGATGTGTCAGGGCTGTCGTTCACCGAAGGTTCAGGGATCCCGGCGTTCGGCCCTGTGTCACCGCATGCCATTTCCATCCGGTCTGGCAACAGAGCATAAACCTCTTGTCGTAACCGATTGTAGAACGAGAGTCCCACAATGACGGTCACCTGCAAGCATCAAAGGAGGAGTGTCGAGAGACGGCCCCTTCCTTCGGCCTCTCCTTTCCCATTGGAGATTGCCTCCGCTTCGGAAGTTCTACGTAGAAAGCCCTGCTTTATGCGCAGCAGCGCTGTTCGTTACTCGGGACCGCGATATATTGGAAACCTTCACTTATTTAACTCGAGATACATCGAGTCTAGCTGGCCTCGTGTTGGGCTTGCTTCAGAGGAATCTTTGTACAAGCATTCCACCATCCACGCAGCATTACCTGTTTTCCAAAACTAACGGGTGCAGGAAGCACTGGGGCCGGTTGCTATTCGCACTCAAGCCGGCAGCACGCATCCACAGTACAAAAGCCCTCGTGCGATACGGCGCTCCTGAATATTTCAGTGCAGTTGTGAAACCAGGTTCATGGCAATCACGATGCCGATATACTTGACCAACTTCTGGCTGGAGCCGGCTTCGCGAAGTTCGGAAAACTTCCAGGCTTCTTCTTTTCGGCTTCTGGTACAGGCGTTTGAGGATCGAATAAATGTGTTCCATTCTGTCATTGTGGCACACGACGCTTCTTGAACGTGCTCGGTTATAGAACACTTGATCAGGATGCCAGTAGTGGTCGTGGAACATGTCGTCTTGAGAAGAACTAACTTAAATAACCATTGACTTGGCTTGGAAGGTGTCCGCGACCCGCCGTGTGGAGTATACAAGACGTGAAGTATATTGTCGTGTTTTGACGGTTGTTTGTGAAGTCGGAGTCGGGGCGCTCCCCGTCTCATTGCCTCTTTCAGTGAGCTCCGATGCCACGCATCACAGAAGCCTACATTCTGGCGCCTCCATGGCCACCTGCCACTGCACTAGCGTAGCCAGCGCACTTTCCTTGGCTTGGTTTACGTGAGACTCCATGCACAAAGCGGTCTGAAGCAGAATTCTCGACAGTGCCTCAGGAGGGGTACTCTGGTGAAGTTGCCGAGCGGGACATTCAGCAAACGGTGTGCATCACCAGCATTGGAGCTTATGTGAAATATTTAAAGTATGCGCTCGTCGGAGCGCTGGAAGCAGGAACGGGACGCCCAAGGAAATTGCCGTCCGCATCGTGCACCTTATCCACCGTTTTGAAGCCCAAAGTCGGGCTCGGCGACTGTCTCCTTTGTCTTCACCGCGGAAAAGAAGAAATCATATGTATTGGCAGTTGCCGTAATGAAGATTGGGAAAATTACGAATTCCGGGGATACTCTTCTTTGCATAGAGCTCTCCTTCGTCGTCGCTGCAGTACTACTCTAAGGACAGGTCACTGTTGTTCAGCCGAGATTCTGCCGGTATTCTGACTTAGCAATCTCGTTTAGATAGGTGCTTCACCGAAGAGTTACCAGATACCGTACTCTTCCGACTAGGATCACACTGATATGGTTTTCAGGCACCGCAAGGAAGGCACGAAAACCCCTAAATTCCGCCTTTGCAGGGTACCTCACATTCCTGAGACAGCAGTAAAGCAGCTATCAGGGTATATTCCTCCTTCCGGAGTGCCGGATGCAGAGACCATGCGTATAGACATACCCGCGGGCAGTCGGGTAACACGAAGAGGCTCCCCACATGCCCCCATTTGGAGGAATCTGGGCGATACTTACTGCCGATCCGCCCGCCTAAAGCCTAGATTTTGTCCATCTCACCTGCCTTGCCCCCTTGCTTTTCGAGGCGTCCCTGTGCCGTCCAAACTCCCCTTTCACTGGGTCAATCGAACGGGGAAGGATCACATGGCAAAGCTCCAAGCTCCTCATTAGTTGTACCGCTGGCTCACTTCATCCATTGGGAGAATGTCAGCCGAAGTGCACCTTTTCGTTCAGAGGTTTCCGGATGTGTGACCAGTCGGCGCCTTTGTGTCTAGTAGTCTAGATCCACCTGATGTATAGTGCCGAATTGGTGAATGGAATCTCAACATAATGGTTGTGACCCTAGCAGCGGTATTAGACCGATTTGTCCATCTGACCTGATGCAGAGCCACGTGTCATCCATTGGTGTAGATCACTCCATGGTAGAAAGCCTATCTGCACTCAGGCTTGTTTCGTTGACAACTCAGAAACATAGCTTACAGGGGTATCGCCTCTCTATCCGCTTGCGTTGTGAATTTTACTTTCGGCGCTTCCTGCAAGGATGCATGAACGGGGTTGGAAGCGGCAAATATGTCGTCCATTTCTTCCAGGCTTCGACCCTTTGTTTCGACGAAGAATTTGTGTATGAATGCGATGCCCGCAGCATCGAAAACGGCCTGAGTAAAATGTCAAATTCGTGATGAAGTAGAAGGACTGACAGGGCCCACTTACGTAGAAGATGTGGAACCTCCAACCAATGTTATTGATGGCGACAGGTGGAACATACGTGTTGATGATCTTCACGAGATTGTTCATTAGATTCAGAGTTGCCAACCCCTTACCCCGGTTCTCGAAACTTAGCACTTCCACGGGGTACAGATGTTGGCACGGTGTCCAGGCAAATGCAAATACGGCGAGGAAAACGTAAATGAATGCGACGCCGATACCGCCGATGACGGGATGACCAACTTGATTCGCCGTACACACAGCAATTACAGTGACACAGATACCACCCCGTACAATTTCAACATGTGAGGTGTCCAGGGGTCAAGTGGGTATAAGCGGAGCACCCCTCTGCCAGTCGAGAGGTGCCGCGAACTGTTTTGCGTGGCGAAGTAGATAGGCCGTCAGACTCTGCTGCATCGTTCAGAGAGGTATTTTTCTTCAAAAAAAGCAGCCTGTGGCGCTTCAGTTGAGTCATACTGATTAATAGTCATGGTCTTGCAATCATCGTGATGACGGCGTTGGTAAGGGATCCGCTTTGAGCGCAGGGTGGAGGCGGCTTCTTCGGCCCGGGTTCCGAGGATTCTTACCACATGGATGTCACGATCTCTGCAATCAGCACACCTCTTTGTTTTCTGTTCCAAAGTTCCTGATCCGTTGGTGACCGAGAGTTATTTGCCCTTGGTCGCCATCCCTACTGCGCCATCTAAATCTTTGAGAGTCGACAGGAAATTGTTAAAACTCTCAATGGCGAGGAATTTCTTTGCTAGGTTCGTCTTCTGTGCTACAAATGTCTGCAGGTGTTGGTTGGCGACATGAAGGTCGCTAGCCCAAGCCTCTACGGTAGCCATCGCAACTCCAGGCGGACGACGGTCTTCCAGTTCGTTTTTAGTCTGAACACCCCTTCCCCGCATATACCGCGACTGGACCATTTTTTTTAATCTCTGTCTCATCCTGCATCCCTGGTGTTGACTGCTGGACGTCGGTCCGCGACGCGGCTTCGTACTTTGCCATATGTTGTCCTATCTCGGGTTGTTGAACTTCTTGCATTGCATGGTCGGTGGTCTTGTTGGAGTTGATTATGATTCCCTCCATTGAGGTATCCCTGTTATAGGACATGTTATGGCTTTCTGCCTCGAGCATAATCATCTGAGGGTCAAAGGGTAACCGGTAAAGTGTACAGTAGCGTGCTGGTAAAGAAGTTGTAGGATAGGTATTGGAGAGCAGTGTCAAGAAGATCCGATTCATTGCGTCTGAACTGTACATGGAAGGCGCAGACACGTCGTAATTTATCGAGTAGCTCGGCACCTCTGGCGGCGGTTGCAAACATGCGGACCATGGCATCGGCGTCCTCAGCATCCCAGTCGTGGTCGGTATCTCCATTGAGTGCAGGAGCTGAAAGCGCCTCAATAACTACCGTCTCCACGTATTCATCCACCTCATGGAACTCCATACTGAACGCATGCCAGGATCCACTGTAGCGAAGCTGCTCGGCAACCACCTTGGGTGCTTCAGCAGCGAACGACTTCCAATCTTGATTTGCACGATCAAACATCCGATCCAGCCTTCCCACGATACCCACGACATCCCCGGAGATGTGCTCCCGAACGAGCGTTGGTGATATGTCGACGGCCAGGCTCGTTTCTGAGGACGGTTCAGCTGCTGCATGGGACGATGGAGATGTGATAGTAGATTTCCCCGCAGTGGATCTCTTTGATTGGGGCTCTTCAGCTAGAGGTGAGACAGCTTTGCGCTTGGGCATGTTGAATTTCGATGTCCCTATCGCGTCATGTCCGACATCGCTTGCTGAAGATACTGCTGTGGGAGAAGCTGCCAGGTGGGGAGAAAAACCATCTCTCGCTTTGAACCCCTCTACCGCTCTATCGAGATCCATGTTGACATCACCCACTCTGATCTCGTCAATGGTGTGAACATGATTGCGTGCCGGCCGGCTTGCTTCAAGGAATTTTATCGCGTTAAGGGCTAATCCCAACAGATCAGGATGATTCTAATACGTGATTCATCGAGCTTACGTGCGTGCTTTTAAGGTTTCCCGCCCGTTCCGTGGATTGCTCCTGCCAGTGGTCTTTCTGGGGGGCGATGACGCTCCTCCGAGCTCGCCAGCGCTATCTGCGCCCGAGAGTTGATCCATGTGATTGTGGTTCATTCGAGCCTTCTGTCCGGCCATGTTGCGAATACTCCCTTCAGGTCCTTGCGCTTGTTCGAGCGCGTCCAACATAACCCATTGGCGTGACACAGCATCCTCCACAAGCAATTCGACTTGCCCTCCCTGTCCAGCAGAAGAGGTTCGAGAGACGGAAAATGCAATTTTCCCCTCTGGTCTGCAGACTTTAATGAACCAGGATGTGGGATGCTGCGGTCTTCAGGCCGCTTCCGGGTGCTTGTAGGAGTGCTGTTGGATGTAGATGCTGTCGAAGATTGGAACCTCCAAGCACATGGTTCTGAGAAGAGTGCAAAGTACTGAGGATGAGTCACGCGGGGCAGGAGAGAATCATACCGGTCAGGGTTGTGTACGCGTGTTGGTTCAGAGAAGTCATCTGTGTTGGGAAGAGGGAGAAACAGAATGGTAGGAAAGAATGAACACAGAACGAAAATTTCACACGCATGCAACAAAAAGACGGCGCAAAGGAAGGGTCGTTTGACCATCCATCAATGATCACTAAATTCCACGTTTACCTCAGGCTTCCGGTGTTGCTGCATTTCCGCATTTCTGCTCGCGCCCTTCTTACCCGAGCAGAAACAAAGGAGAGAGGAAGACGAACGGAAAAACGCCATTCTTTTAGCAGTACGAACACTCCATTAGCGCAATCTAGCCTACCCACCTAGCTGTCGTACATGCCACCCTCTAGGTCTGCAAAGTCCGTAACCGTCCCCAGTCCGATAATAGTACGAAAAACAAGTGGCGATCAATATCGGCGAGTGCCATCAGAATGCCAGGGGTCGTGGATGAAAAGAAGCGGAAGGGATATGCATGGGTGCGAACAAGTGGGCTCAAAGCGGTGCGAAAAACGAAGGGTAACAGGATAATAAAAACAGATACGGCCATCCATTGGCAGCTTACACTTAATACCATTCCCACCCTCTGCACCCCCTCTAGGCGTCTTCAGAACAAGAGTGGCTGCGAGTCCTTTTTACTGCCCCATCTCCCCTACCCCGCCTCTCCGAGGCAGTGGCGGGCGTAGAGTTTCGGCACTACGCATCGTACCCACGGGTGGGGGCCTAGCCAACCCAGCATCCTCACTGCCAGTCCCCGATCCCCCCGTGCTACTTGTCCACGTCGTTCCAGCCGTGCTCTCCACTGGGTGACCAGGGAGCCCACTTACGTCCGTCCTTGTCGTCCGACGACTGTTGAAGCTCAGATCATAAGCAGGAGGCAACTCCACGACCGCTTCCTCTTCCTCCTCGGGCGGGTCCTCACTCTCCAGCACGCTCCCTGCGTCTGTATGGAGGACGTATCTTCGGCCTGCAGGAGAGGGGAAAGCACTGGCACGTGCTTCAGCGCGTTTTGCAGCCGCGGCACGGGAAGTTCCCTCTGCGCCTGCGGCTGCTGCAAATGCAGCGGAAGGAGCGGCGTTGGCGACGTAGTACCCGCCCTGACCCGCATGTCCAGCAGTAGCATCGGTCGTTGTGCTAGTTGGTGCGGTGCTGGCCCATCGCTGGCTGCCTGGTCCCCCGGGCTGTGACTGCGACTCAAAAGGATTTTGCAGGCTTCGCGCGTCCTGGCTGCTTCCACTCCCCTCCTCCAAGGGAGGGACCAGGAACGGCACAGGCTCGTACTGTGCGGGGTTCGGGTAGGGACCCCCCGTACCTCGAGGGAGGTCGGTAGCTGACGCGTTGGCCGGAAGGAGGTCGACCATCCTCCCTCCATTACGCTTGTATGCTTTGTCGGGGTCGTACGCTGCATGTCGCTTTCGATGACGCGTGTAGAAGAAGATTGCGAGTAAGATGACCGCGACGAGGGCTAGAATGCTGGCTATGACGGCGCCTACAATTGTCCCTGTTTTGGACGAGCCAGACGAGCCCGGGTCGGACGTGCCAGAGCTAGGGCTGGTCGACGAGCCTCCCCCGGAGATGGAGGTCTGGGCAGGCTGGGAAGAGACGGTAGAGGATGGGGAGTTGGCGTTGATACAGGAGCTGTCGTCTGATGATCCGACAGACTGGATAGATGATGTACCGCCTTGATTGCCAGCGGCGTCGGCGAGGGCGAGGAAGAAACTGCGCGCAGTTTAGTAGGTGCACGTCGCGCGAGGATGGATACGCACCTGGTCCCCGTGGCAATGTTCACTGTCCAGTCAACGCTTGTCCCAGTCGCCCCAATGAGGTGGAACGTCTGCCCTAAGGGAATGAGCCCCCATATATCCACAGGGCGTGTGGCGTTGCTGTCCCAGGAGATCTGAAATGATTTGCACTGACTTGCACCTCCGCTCTGGAGAAAGAACTCGAACCCCAGATTAGGGCCGACAGTGCTGCATGATGTGCCTGTCGTACTTGCCCCCGTGACGAGGAGAGCGCTTGTGCCTCCTGTGCCGAATCCCGTGGAATCGGACATCGTCAGAAGGAAGGAGGCACCAGGGTCGAGTTCGAGTTGCGGGAGAGTGTAGTTTCCCCTGTTAGTGCTGGAGGAGAAAGATGTTGATGGCAAGGAGATATTGCGGGCTACGTCGAGGGAAGGAGTGACGAGCAGGTTGAATGGGGGAGTGCCGCCTTGCCAGATAACAGTGAGCGGGTCGCATGATGTCGGGGGTGTAAAGGAGAAGAGGAAGGCGTTGGAGAGAAGGGGAAAGACGGTGAGGGTGCTGAGCAGAGGCGGACGTCGGTGCATTGTTGGTCGACGTCGCGGTCAGAACATTCGCGGTTAATAATGAATGTTGTGGTCCTTGTTGTCAGTCAAGAAAACAATTGTTCGTCAGTTCAGACCACGGCTGTCGCTGTGTAACTCCTGTCGTCGCTGTCAATAGACTCGAGTTGGTCGTCGTCGTCGTCGCGGTGCAGGGGGAGGACGACGACGCGGGTGCTGTGCCGCCCACCCTGACCGAGAAGCGGACCATTCAGTCCGCAGTTGCGCTGCAAAATTCAATACACTTTATTACAATTTCATTTCAATTCTTCCTTGTTACAAAGAAGACAATGAACAGCCTTCAAAGCCAAGCAAATCCAGTAACCTTCTCAATAGCAGCATGTGCAACCTCGACCAAATTCTCCCCTCCAACAACCTCAAACACCTTAATTCCGCCCCCCTTGACACCGGCAGCAATCAACCATACTTTTCCATCCAGTTCCTTGATAACTGCACCCCTAATATGCTCCAGTCCCGTGTGCACCTCCTTCACCCATTTGGGTTCCTTCGCCCCGAGAGCGAGGACCGATGCCTCCAGCTTGAATATCGCAATCGTGTCTCCCTTTGCGTCCCCGCTGTCTCGGTTGGTGGCGTACAAGTACTTACCCGCAGGATGCAGCAGAAGTTCCGCAGCACCCGCACCAGGCGGAGTGGGGAGGAGCGTACACGGCTGAGTGGTACGTACGCTCGCGGTCGTCCCAAGGCCTCCGGGGAGTGTATAATGCGACAGGGTGTTGTTGAGCTCGTTCAGAACGTACAAGTCGCTCGCTACCAGCTGGACGTGTCTCGGCCCTGCACCGGACGCACAGGCCACCTCGCCCTTGATTTCCCATTCCCCGCTTGCAGAGGGTGCAAGACGCCAGATCTTGTCTGCGCCTAGGTCGGGGATGAGGATCTCGGAAGAGGAGCGCTGATAGACTTGGTGTGGATGAGACGACTCTTGCCGCTCGAGGTTCGGGCCGGGGCCAATGAATGGGAACTTGAGTATCGGATGGGTGGGCGCCTTCAAGCCTGTAGCAGTGAGGGGGACAGCGAGCAGCGTCCCGGTCATGTACTACGGTAGGTGTTAGTAGGCGCAGTACTTGGATGATGGTGCAGACATTGGCTGCGAGTACGACCCCCCCCTCCTCAACCACGAGATGATGTGCCGGACTGTGTCCCTCGGTCTTCTGCACACTGCCGAGAGGTTCCAGTTCCACCTTCTCCCCGACCTGCTTGAGACGAAACGCGCGCACCTCTCCCTCTTCCAGCTCGTTCGTGCCTATGAACAAGGCTGGGTCTACGGGAGAGACGGATACCCAGGACATGTTCCCTCCCGAGGGTGTCGTGCCTGTTACGGTGAGCGTGCCTGCTGAAGCTGAGAAATGGAGGTGGGTGAGCTCATCGGAGTAAGAGGCGGTAATGATGTTTGCCATTGTGGTCGTCGTCGTCGTCGAGAGAAAGAGGAGAGAGGATACGTAGCCAGCGATGTTTTGAACAGTGGAGGCGGATTATCTTCGGATTATCTCTCAACAATGACATCACACTTCTCCCTGTGTATCAATCCCTTTCAAATACATGTAGCCATGCAATACTCAAAAGTGCAAAAACAAGAAATAATATAAATTTCGGGGAAATTATTTGTCCGAACAGCTCAGCAAGTTGCCTAGTATAGAACAGAGTATCGGTGATAACGGCGTAGTTATCCCGACGGCCGACGCTTGAACAATTTCATTGTTGTTCATTGTCTCGACCACGATGGACGGCACAAATCCTCACTCGTTGTCCGACCCAGTTGAACTGCCCTTTCGCAACTTGCTACCTCCCACTCTGCCTACGCTGATAACCCAATGGCTTGCTGAAGATATCCCATCCTACGATCCTGCTGGAGCCGTCGTTGGCACAGCACCCAAGGTCGCATTCCTTCTTGGAAAAGCGGACGGCGTGCTCGCAGGTGTGCCATTCTTCGACGAGGTGTTCAAGCAGCTAGGGTGCAATGTCGAATGGCATTTGAATGAAGGGCAGAGTTTCCAGAAAATTAAACACGTTGCAACCGTCACCGGACCGGCGAACGCACTCCTGCAAGGCGAGCGGACCGCGCTCAACACCCTTGCGAGATGCAGCGGTATTGCGACCAAGTGCGCATCACTGCCCCTCAGCTACTCATAATCCTGACAAGTGGTGTCTAGGTCCCGCCGCTTCCGTGACATTGCGGCATTGTCCGGCTTCAAGGGCACCATCGCCGGTACGCGCAAGACAACGCCTGGTTTTCGCATCGTCGAGAAGTACGGCATGCTTGTCGGAGGCATCGACCCGCACCGACATGACCTAAGCAGCATGGTCATGCTCAAAGACAATCACATTTGGTCTCATGGAAGCATCACGAACGCGATCAAGCTCTGCAAGAGCATGATCAGCTTCGCGACGCTCTTGGAGGTCGAAGTGCAGAGCGAAGAGGAGGCGGACGAGGCGATTCAGGCCGGTGCGGACATCGTCATGCTTGATAACATGGGCGGAACACTCTTGGGTGAGGTTGTGACGAGATTGAAGGAAAGATGGGTGGGGAAGAAGTTCCTGATTGAGGTTAGTGGGGGCATCGACGAGACTAACTTAAGGGAGAGGCTAGTAGATGGTTGGCCTGTTAATTTGGCCCTGAGTTTCAGACACTGATCAGCTCTACAGGCGTGGATATCCTAAGCACGAGCGCAGTTCATCAATCGGTGCAACATATCGATTTCAGCCTGAAGATTCAGCGCTAAGAGACATGGTTCGCCTCGTAGCGATGGTCGTGTATACTCAACAGAGGATAGAATAACCAGCACAAATCGGAATAGTAGTGTGTGTTGAATGGAAGAGTGAATAACAAGGTTGAGTACATATTACTAGAACACATCGTCTCAACGCGCTGGAAAGCGCGATCAATACTTCCGCCATCGCGCTTCAGACCAGACAGCTCTGGTTGTGTACCATTGCTCAATCCGGCTATGCCCATGCACAGGAGTTCAAGGCATATCATATGGTTTAATACCTCCACCAATGACTGATGAGGAAGCGATTCGACTCGGCCGGACCTCTGGGCCAGTGCTGGCTACCTCCTGTCTTCATACAATGCTCAACGTCGTTCTCTGTTCTTGACGTCCATTGCACATTCTGGCAAACAACTGAACAGTTATGACTCTTCCGGCACAAGCACCAGTATTCGATGGCCTGTACGCCTATTCCTCAAAGGAGAGGCTCGTCCAAGCGTACGCAGGCAAGCCGCTCACCGCGCTTCGCACACCTGCATTTGTAGTCGACCGCGCTGTGTTCGCACTCAACTGCGGGGTGATGCATAAAGGTGTGCTGCAGGGATGGGGAGCGAGTTTTAGAGCACACGTCAAAACCCATAAGGTGAGTTATTATTTTGACCTTGTAGAGGATGGGCTGATGGGATGTGGGATGCAGACTGTGGA